GCCGCTCAGCCCCCAGCCCTGCTCACCTTGTGTGGCTGGGGGATGACTCTGCCCCGGGGAGCTGGAGGTCACACGGGGACTTCCCTGCCACGCAGAGCCACCCAGGTGGGACACACGGAACTCTGCTTCCGAAGGAGAGTCCCCCTCTGCCCCCGAGCAAGCCCCCCACGAACGACGGGGCTGACGCTGCCCTCCCGACCCATCACACAGGGCTGCTCTGGTTTGCATCCAGGTACAGCACCTCCACAAGCAGATCTGCCCTACGGCTGAGAGTGCCCTGGGAAGGAAACTTTAAACATCTGCACACCTCCGTGATGAGGCGTGAGGATAATTACCCTCACATTCACTTTGCAAAAATGCATTTGCCTCACTTGAATATTTTGCTGAAATTTTCTGAATCACACCTTCAGCAAGCAGACAAACCTAGCTCCAAGGTATAAAAAAAAAAAACACAGGAGGATTTCACATTCCTCATTTTCATCAGACCTCAGCAGGACCCTCCATGTGAATAACGAGGATGTGAGGACACAGCGCCAGCTGCATAAAAACGGGTTAACAAATGGGTTAACGGAAGCAGAGCAGCTGCATGGCTCAACGCCACAAAGCAAGTTAGGACAGGGCAGAGCTGGAACGAAACAGAGGGGTTTAGCTCCAGTTTCCGGTGTGTGCCAGTAAAGCTCTTTGCTTGGCTGCGTGGGGAGAACGGGTGGCAAAGCGTTACCTCCTCAGGGCTCTCTACACAATAAATTTGGAGCATGAGACCCAGTTTTAACCTCCAGCTTCAAGGAGGACACAGCAGTCGGCGGACAGACCTGATGCACTAGCTCTAAGTCAGCATCCAGAGGACTTAGTGCGTTTTTCGAGTAGTTGGGACAGCTGGACAAAGGGACTTTCTGCAGTGGGAGGGACACGACGGGGAGCATCCTACCTAATCGATGCACCGCGTGGACAATGGTAGAGCCGCTTCCGATCCCAAGAACTTGGTTGTTCTGCAAATCAAAAAGAGACAGAGAAGAGCTGTTACTGGGGGGTCGGCACAAGGGCTGTTTGCTTTTCCCAACATTCAACATGTGCAAGATGAACCTTGCCCAGAGACGCACGCCAACCCGCAGCGCCTTAGCATGCTGCAGGCAAGAAGGGAACACACCACGCCAGCACGGGCATGGCCGCTGTCTGGCTGAGGGATTTTAAGCAGCTTGCCTGCTCAGTAAAGGATCCCTGCTTGCTAAATACCACCATGGTCTGAATCTCAGGGTGTTTGATGCACACTCACTGCTGGTTGCTGGCACTCAGTCCACCCTCTCCTGCTGGAAAACTGGGAGTTTCAAACAATACCACAGCGGAAGGAGCTGAAACAACCTCAAGATAACATCTCCTGAGGAAGCCGCATGGTAAAAGCGTGGGTTTGCTGCCAACGGTATTGTTAGTAAACAGTACGGCTGCACCAGCGGCCAAAGCAAAGAGCACAGCAGCAGTTCCTCGAGTATAACAAAATCTGCCCTCCGAAACCGAGTACACAACCGCCCATAGGAGAGCCCAGCAACGCGCCTGAAAGACGGGTGAGCCCGGCAGCACACGCTGAAGAGGACCACGCTTTAACTGCGCCTCAGCCCTGGACTTTCTCTGCTTATGGTGTGGTTTAAGAAGGATCGCTGCCGTCTCACCCGTAACATAGACGCTTCTGAAAGGTGCTGCAGGCTGAGGGTTGATGGGTGCAACCGTGTCACCTCCCAAGAGGACACTCTGCAACGTAAATCTCTGTTTATTATCAGCTCAGTCTCCCACCCACTGAGAGCTACCTGCAGCCTCCTGCAGACTTTCAATTTCCAATGTACTTTGCCTTCTTTGGATGGGATCCAAAGCTTAAATTGACTTAAGGAGGCCCAATATCACTACAGATATCAGACGAGAAAGACTTCAAGCCAGCCAGAGATGCAGGCACAGAGCTGTTGTGTGTTCTCCCTTGGACATTAGACAGGTCTGGAGCTCTTTGTCCATGTGCAGAAGCAAATCCAGAGTTCAGGAGCTGTGGAAAAACCCACACCTGCAGCACTTCAACCAGCTAAAATGTTACTGGCACGCAAGGTTGCCTGGAAAGGTGGAGCTCAAGGCAGGTCACATTCCCCTAGGATTAATGATTTCCCTTGCTTCTGCAGGTTAAAAGCTTAAAAACCCAAAAGTTCTCCAAAACCCAGCGCACAACCAGAGCCTTGGCTTATATCCCAGCCCTCACTAATCACCATGACTCTGCCAGAGATGGGGAAAGCAGCAGACCGCAGCTGCCCGCCTGCAACGTTGCCAGCAGAAACCCAATAGCTCCCAAGGTTTCTCGGTTTCACCTGCCCAGCAGGCAGAGCCAAGCGTGGGGCAAGCAAAGTAGCACCGAGACTGGCAGCACATGGGCAGTACTGGTGCTCCGAAGACACTTGTTTCCACCTGGGAAGTGGCAGTTTCTTCTCTCTGCCCTCTTTTCTACAGGGTGGGACAGCTTCTCAGAGCAGCTGGATGCCCTAAAGGGATGGGGAAAGCCTCAGCATCAGCCACTCCACTGTAACAAAGCGAGAACAGCCCATCGCTGGCGATAAACCTGAAGGCATTTATCAGTGATGAGGGGTGAAGCAACCTCCCTTAGGCGGTGGCAAGACCCTGGGCTAAGTGAGTTTCCCAGAAAAATAGTTTAAGTCAGTCTAAACTGGTGTGGTCACAAGCTCTGCCTTACCACAGCTCCCACCTCTCCCTCCTCAGCTCCAACCCCAGCCAGACCAGGGGCAACACCAGCCAAAAAACATCCACTTTTACAAACAGGGCAAACGTTGGCGAGAAGCAGAGCACAAGGTCAGCGTGCAAGGGGCAGGTCCAGCTCGCAGCATCGAGGAGCAGCACCCCATGCAAAAAAAAAAAGAAAAAAAAAAACATTTCAGGTTGTTTACTGAAACCCCAGCAAACAAAACCAAGGCACTGAGCCACTGCACAGCTGAGGATCCATGTATGGACTCCACGAGTGGAGTCAGCAGCGACCACATCATTTTCTCAGCTAACTCAAGGGCCTAGAGACGCTGCATTACAGATGCTGACAAGGCAACACGCGTGGAGTGGGTATCAGCAGCACCACACGGGCTGGTCCAACAGAAGTTTCCAAGACTAGGATTTACATGGGGAAAAAAAACAGATAAATACAGTGCAAAGCCCAAAGTTTCCTCTTATTAACACTCAGTCCTCTGGGGCAACAGAACCTACAGCTCTTGCCCATCTTTTAATTTCTAAGGGAGATGCTAACAGACTGCCTTCGGAGGTGTTGTATAAAGGCAAAGCCAGCTCTCTCCAAGCAGCTTACGGCTCTAAAGCCCCGAGCCAGCCCTGCTCCTGAAGCCATCGCAGCACCACAGCCCACGGCCTCCGAGGTTGAGCGGCTCAGTGTCCGCTCCACTACTGGGGAACGCTGCTCCTGCAGCTGCCCGGGGATACGTGCTGTGGGTAAACACACCGATCTGGCTTTAATTAAAATAAATAAAGAGAAAAAAAACTCTCCTCTCCTAATCCCACCACTCACCGCCAGGTTTTATATCGGTTGCAGGCTGCCCAAGGAGCTGCTGCGCCGGTGGAGTTAGGGACTGGTGCGACGGCGGATGCCAAGCGAGGAGCCTGATCCAGTACCAGTACCAAGCCCCCAGTGCCACGGATTTACAGCACAGTTAAGCGGGAGAGATTTGTCCAGCACAACTGAACCCTGAAGTCAGCGGCGCCTGCCACCACAAGACAGGGAGTCTGCAGCTTTGCTTTCGGAGACGACGCTGCTCCCTCCGCTAACAGCGATAGCTCCAACGGCCAAACACAAAGCTACAAACAGCGGCTGCGGCCTCCCAGCACAAGATGAAGGGAGGACAGGTTTTCCCTGACAGCGGAGACCATCAGACTCCCTAGCAGCGACTCTAGCCTGCTTCTCCGCCATCGCTACGAGCCAACTTGCATGGCAAGCATGGCCGTTACTACCCCAGCTGCTGCATATTTTAATCGGCCTCGCTAGCCAGGCCCTGAACTTTCATCAAACACTTCCAGAAACATCATCCTCAGTTTTCTTGGCCATAAAACAGCACAAGGGCCTGCTCTTTCACTAGGAAAAGTCCAAAACCAAGAGTCACCTTTTAGCCCAAACCAAAGGCACACCCCGCTCACAACAACCCATAGCAGTAGCCGTGCCTCAGCTCCACACCTTGCAACACAAAGTCCTTCCTCCTGCAACCCCTCAACGTGCAACTTTGGGTAAGAAAAGGGGTTTTTATGCAACTACCAGACCACCCCCCAGATGCTTTGAGCACGTTGGCCTGGCAGAGGAGTAGGTCTCAGAGAGCATGTGGCTGTGCTCTCTGCAGGCATGCACAGGCTGCTCGGCGGAAGGAGAGGCTGCAAAACAAGTGAAACATTTACGGGACGTCAGGGAAGCCATCATCAACTGAACCTCAAGACGCCAACCCAGCAGGGGCGAGCGGGAAGGAAAAGGGAATTTTTTTCCTCGCTGACTGCTAACGTGTGTCTCCTCGGCAGCGACTCCACGCCCGTTTCATCACTGCTGTTGCAAGAGGGCTTGCACAGCAAACACTGCAATAACCCACTGCGAGACTTTAACCACTGATCTTCCAAACGTTCACCATCAGGCTGTGCCAAACCTCCAGCAGCTCCAGTCCTCTTGGCCCTCCAAGGGGCTGATCAAAGCCCTTTGCTGTGCTTCCCTCCCCGCAGAGCACAGGACGCGACCCCCAGGCTAAGGGCTGCTGCTCCTTGCTTGGGTGCTCGGAAATAGGGTGCAGCAGCGGAGCACCCCAGAGCTGGAAAAAGGCGCAGGGCACGGCGTTAGCCTGAGCTCCCACCGCAGCCCAGTTTGGAGGTGCAAGACGTTACCCCAAACCCGGTGCGCGCCGTGCTGAGCTGCCCAGGCACGGAGCCGCTGCCCGGGATGCGTGCGCTGGGCGAGCGCAGAGAGAAGGCGCAGGGGAAAAGCAGCTTTCTCCCTCCTCTCCAGGCTGAAGGAGTCCGAAGTGAAGAAGGCAGAGGCGCAGCGGGGCCCGTCCGTGCACCCCAGGGTCCCTGCCTTGCGCTCCGGGACCATCCGTACTTTGGTGGGATGTAAGCGCTCCGTGCAGCCCTCAACCCGACCGTGCACCCCGGGGCTGCTCCGTGCACTGGAGGGGTCTGCCCACCCCACAACCCAGCCGCGCATCCCGGGGCTGCTCCGTGCACCGGAGGCGCCGTCGCACCCCC